TAAAGGTGATGTACAGAATGGTTACTGTTTTGTAAGTCAGGTAATGAGTATATTTTATTTTTTGTTGGTCATGGGGCTTGAACTCGGCTTGGGCACTGTCCCTAAGCTCTTCAGCACAAGGTGAGCACTCTCCCACTTGAGCCACAGTGCCACTTCTGGTTTTCTGGTGGTTCATTGGAGATAAGAGTCTCAGGACTTTCCTGCCTGGGCTGGCTTTGAACCACAGTCCTCAGGTCTCAGCCTCCTAAGTAGCTAGGATGACAGGCATGAGCCACTGGTGCCGGGTATGAGTACATTTCTTTTTGGACAATGTTACCCCTTCTTTGTCTCCCTGTTTTTCCCTTTGGTCCCTCCCACAAGTTGGATGGTTCATTTTCCCCATAGTGTTTTCTGCATCTGTTAACCTTCTGTCCCTCCAAAAACATTGGGGGCTCTTGGGCTAGGACCCCCAGGATGGCATTTCAGTGATGCCCAGGGGCCTCTGGTGCACCTGCTGCTGACTGCCTTGGGAACCATATCACCTTCCTGCTCCTTCCCCGCTAGAGGGCAGGGCACTGGGTGGAGCACTGCCAGATCATCTGAGCAGCCAGTTTCCTTGGGTGGGTTAGGGGAGAAGCAGCTGGTATGCTTTCCACCCACAACAAGCTCAGGGGCTTCCTCCTGGTAGGGGCTACAAGAGTGAGCCCTCTTCCGCTTTTTTTCTTTCCTTTTTTTTGGGGGGGGGGGGGGCTGGTTGTGGGGCCTGAACTGGGCCTGGGTGCTGTCCCTCAGCTCTTCAGCTCAAGGCTAGCACTCTACCACTTGAGCCACAGCACCACTTCAGGCTTTTTTCTTTTTTGCTTATGTGGTGCTGGGGAATAGAACCCAGGGCCTCATACGTTGCAAGGCAAGGGCTCTACCACTGAGCCACCTTCCCAGCCCCTTTCCTTTTTTTTTTTTTTTGGGTCCGGTCGTGGGGCCTGAACTCTGGACCTGGGCGCTGTTCCTCAGCTCTTCAGCTCAAGGCTAGCGCTCTACCACTTGAGCCACAGCACCACTTCCAACTTTTTCTTTTTGCTTATGTGGTGCTGAGGAATGGAACCCAGGGCCTCAGGCATGCAAGGCAAGCGCTCTACCACTGAGCCACCTTCCCAGCTCCTTTTTTTTTTTATGGTCAGTTATGAACTCAGGTCAGCTTGAACTCAGGGCCTGGGTGCTGTCCCTGAGCTTCTGTAGCTCAAGGCTAGCCTTCTACCACTTAAGCCACAGCTCCACTAACGGGTTTTTCCGAGCAGTTTCTTGGAGATGAGTCTCACAGATTTTCCTGCTCTGGCTGGCTTTGAACTGGGATCCTCAGATCTCTGCCTCTTGAGTAGCTAGGATTACAGGCATGAGCCAGCTTTTGCTGTTTTCTCTTGAGCAAGACTGAGCCATACTGATAGCTCAGCCCCTGGAAGGAGCAGCACAGCCAGGATCCAATGGACTGAGTGCTGGGCAAAGTGTGCAGCAAGCAGGCCAAGAGCGCCTGGGGGACAAGGAGCCCAAGACTGTCCAGGGTCAGCCCGAGCATGCAGGTCCCGGTGCCAGGCTAGTTAAGGAGAGCAACCTGGCCCCTCCCCTCAGGTCTGTTGTAAGGGTGTGAGGGGCATGCTTCCCTCCACACACCACCACTCTGCTACCAAGGGCTGCCTTTGTCGCCCCTCCCACACTACTGTGCTTTCCCGCACGTGCTGGTGGCTGGAAGAAGGTCCAGTAGCATGGCTTCCCTGCAAGCCTTGTGTCCTTCCACCTAGCCTGCTGGTCTTTACACCACAGGCCTTGGCCATTTCCTATCATAGGAACTCCGACCTGCCTCAGATGGAACCCAGGACCTGGTATCTCCCCAGGAGACCTACAACCTCTAGGGCTCTGGTTTGGCCAGGTACCTGTGGAGCACGAAGATTGGGAAACATTTCAGCCACCCCGTCCGTAGGGGTATGGAGACAGATGAGATACTGTCCTTTCCAGCTGGGCACTGGTACCTCATGCCTGTAATCCTATTGAGGAGACAGATTTGAAGATGGAGGTTCAAAGCCAACCTGAACAGGAAAGTCCATGAGATTCTTGTCTCCACTTAACCACCAAAACACCAGAAGTAGAGCTGTGGCTCTAATGGTAGAGTGCTAACATTGAACAAAAGGGCTGTCCCTTTTTTCCATTAAACCACCAGAAAACTGGAAGTGGCATTGTGGCTCAAGCAGTACAATATTGGCCTTGAGCTGAAGAGCTGAGGGACAGTGCCCAGGCCCACTGGGTGTCAGTGGCTCATGCCTGTAATCCTAGGTACTCAGGAGGTTGAGATCTGAGGATCGAGGTTCAAAGCCAGCCCAGGTAGTAAAGTCCATGAGACTCATTTCCAATAAACCACCAGAAGTGGCACTGTGGCTCAAGTGGTAGAGCGCTCGCCTTCAGCTGAAGAGCTGAGGGACAACGTCCAGACTCAGAGTTCAAGCCCCAAGACCGACAAAAGAAAAAAAAAAAAGGGCTGTCCCAGCGGCTCACATCTGTAATCCTACTCAGGAAGCTAAGATTGGAGGATCGCAGCTCGAAACCAGCTGGCACAAGAAAGTCCATGAGACATTATCTCCACTACACTACTCAAAAAACCAGAAGTAGGGCTGTGGCTCAAGTGGTAGAGCACTAACCTTGAGCAAAAAGAGCTCAGGGACAGCACTTGGGCCCTTAGTTCTAGCCCAGGACTGGCATACCAAAAAAAAAAAAAAAAGAGCTGGGCTCCAGTGGCTCATGCCCATAATACTAGCTACTCAAGAGGCTGAGATCTGAGGATCGTGGTCCAAAGCCAGCTCGGGCAGGAAAGTCCATGAGACTCTTAGTTCCATTAAACCACCAGAAAACTGGAAGTGGCATTGTGGCTCAAGTGGTACAGTACTGGCCCTGAGCTGAAGAAATGAAGGACAGTGCCCAGGCCCAGAGTTCAAGCCCCATGCATGACTAACAAAAAAAAAAGAAGAGAGAGGAAGAAAGAAAAGAATGAAGGTAGGAAGGAGAAAAGAAAGGAGCATGGTGCAGCTGGAGTGAAGAGGCCAGAACCGGAGAGGCCTGTTCAGATCTGTCAGATGCAGACACTTAGCTTGGGAGGGGTTCAAAGGTTCTTCACGTCCTAGTCTGTGGCCAGCACCTGTGGGGCCACCTGTCCTCGCATTCACTGCACCCACCTGCGTCACAGGAATGACAGGATCACACACGGAGTGTCTCTGCTACTGGTCTTGCAATACCAGGCTTGAGTCTGAGCACAGCCCTTCTCAGCCTCCGGGAAGAAAGGAGAAGAGGGACTTCCGAGTCTCTACCTTTGGACTGGATTCGGTTCCCTGGACGCAGGACTACCCCCCAGGAACATGCCAAAGCTTACCCTTGGTGTGAGGGAAGCAGTTTGTGCACGGGAGGCAGGGGAGAGGCAGGACATGGACTGAGGCAGCATTAGTAATGACACACCTGTGAGCCAGGGGACCTGAAGCATGAGTTAAGCCAAGAGTGGACATGGACACGGCAGGCCTGCCAGCCCCAGGGACATCACAAAGGCAAACTGGTGGTGGTGGGGGACAGCCCACAGCATGAGCCAAGCCATCTGGAAGGAGGTAGCCATCATGATACGATGCCCCAGCACAGGGCCAGGTCCTGGAACCTCTGTGCTGATCCTCTTCCAGAACTATATCAACAAGGCACAAAGACCTAGTGATGCCCCTGGGCATAACCTTCCAGAAGTTATCCTAGCTCCCCAAGCCACTCTAGGAGCCTAAGGACCTCAGACATTTTGGTTCCTGAAACACCTTCTGCATATAATTGTACTAAGTAGGGAAGGTCCTGGCAGGTAGTGACAATGGGGGTAGGTTCAATGTGGTTACCCTGTCTCAAAGATTCTGAAGGGATTATTACACCGTCATGGAGCTACCTGAAGCAAGCTGGGCAGCTGGAGGTCAGGCCTGACCTGCAGTGTTAGTCTGGCTTCCTAGCAGCATCCTTTGTGGTGAAGAAGTCAGGGTCAAACTAGGTACTGGTGGTTCACCCCCATAATTCCAGCTAGGAGACTGTGATCCTAGGATTGCAATTCAAAGCCAGCCGGGGCAGGATAGTCCATGAGACGCCTATCTCCAACTAACCATGAGAAGACTAGAAGTGTTGCTTGTTGCTGTGGCTCAAGTGGTGGAATGCTAGCCTTGAGTGAAAGAGCTCAGGAATAGAACTCGGGCCCTGAGTTCAAGCCCCAGGACCAACACACACACACACACACACACACACACACACACACACACACACTCAGGACCAGTGGCTGTACCCATCTCTGGTTTCAAGCATTTCCAGCTGCCCCCTCTCTTCCTGTACCCAGCCGCACACTAGTGAGGACCGCCAGCCTCAACAGTCCTCCGATCCAGTTCCCTTCACCAGAAGCTCTCCTTGTCTCCTCATCCAGCATTTCTCACCACGTGGATCTTTTTCTCTTTTCTTTTCTTTTCTTTTTTTTTGCCAGTCCTGGAGCTCGAACTCAGGGTCTGGGCACTCTCCTTGAGCCTCTGTAGGCTCAAGGCTAGCACTCTACCACTTGAGCCACAGTGCCACTTGCAGCTTTTTCTGTGTATATGGTACAGAGGAATAGAACCCAGGGCTTCATGCATGCTAGGCAAGCACTCTACCACTAAGCCACATTCTCAGCCCGTCACAAGGATCTTGAGCCAAGGGTGCCCAGTAGAGGCCATCAAAGCTCTCTACCCAACTCTAACAGAGGGTCGGAAAGAACTGAGAGCAGCGGGAGTGGGGGTGGGGGAGGGGAGGACAAGCAAACCCCGCCCACCGCGTGGGCACCGCCCCCAACCCTCCAAACTCTGAGGAGGGGCTGGTGGGTGGGGCGCAGCTTGGTCAGCTGAGTGTCAGTCACGGGACCCGCCAGCAACTCCGTCGTCTTCCTGGAAGAAAGTGGGTGATGAACTGGGGTCTCTTGGGGTGGCAGTCCGGCGGGAGCGGGGCTCTCTTGGCTGGTCCCAGGGGATCGGTGGCGTGGAAAGCCCAGCGCAGACATGGGGTGGAAGGCTAGAAGGGGAGGGGGGTGAAGGGGTCAGGCAGCTGCGGAGCCCAGTGGAGCCCGCAGAGGAAACCGGTGCCCCAGGGCGTTGAGGAAGTCCCGGTAGGGAGCCCCGCATGTCCCCCGCCTGCCCGCCCCCAGGACATGGAGAGCGAGCGGGAGACGCTGCAGGTGTGGAAGGAGCGCGTGGAGCAGGAGCTGGACCGCGTGGTAGCTTTCTGGGTGGAGCATTCCCACGACCAGGAGCACGGGTGAGCTGCCCCGCCAGCGGCTCTGCCCCTCGCCCAAACCCCTGCCTCCCTCGGGCGACTCTCCGATCTGCTGGGGGGGGGGGCAGGGGAGCCAGGGAGCTTGTGGGGAGGGGTGCAAAGTTCCTCCCCGCTTTGCCTCGCCCCGGATGTCCCACAGGGGCTTCTTCACGTGCCTTGGCCACGACGGGAAGGTATTTGACGACCTCAAATATGTCTGGCTGCAAGCGAGGCAGGTGGGTAGCAGTGTCCTTGCAGCCTCGGTGCGGCACTCACCGCGGCCTGTCACTGCCACGCTGTGCTCCCCCGCCCCCATACACACACTCCTTCCCCACGGTGACCCCTCTGCCCCGCCGCAGGTGTGGATGTATTGTCACTTGTACCGCCATTTCCAGCGCTTCCACCAATCTCAACTTCTGGACTCAGCAAAAGCAGGTGTTGACTCCTCTCCCGCGTCCTCCCCCGCAAGGGCCTCACCCCTGTTCACTCAATAGAGCTGCCTCAAAGTGCCTGATTCTTGGGGGGCGGTGTTCCTTGGGAGGTGCCACGGCCTGGGGATGGGGCGGGTCTTCAGGAGTCCTGGCCAATGCTCGCTCCCCCACCACCAGGGGGCGAGTTTCTGCTGCGTTGTGCGCGTGTGGCTCCTCCTGGCAAGAAATGCGCGTTTGTCCTCACTCGGGACGGCCGCCCAAGCAAGGTGCAGCGGACCATCTTCAGCGAGTGCTTTTACACCATGGCCATGAACGAGCTGTGGAGGGTCACAGGGGATGTGCGGTACCAGGTGAGTGGGAAGAGGCTGCTGGCTCTTAGAGCTGCACCTTTAAAGCATGTCCTGCGTGGGACGCTGTTGGCTCATGCCTGTAGTCCTGGCTATTCAGGAGGCTGAGATCTGAGGATTGCAATGCCAAGCCAGCCTTCTTGGGAAAGTCCATGAGTCTTATCTCCAATGAACTACTCAGAAAAGTCTAGAAGTGGTGCTATGGCTCTACGTGGTAGAGCACGAGCCTTGAGCCAAAGAGGCTCAAGGACAGCCCCCAGTCCAGAGTTCAAACCCCAGGACTGGCACACACAAAACAGACATGTCCTGGGCTGGGAAGGTGGCTCGGTGGTAGAGTGCTTGCCTAGCATGCATGAAGCTCTGGGTTCCATTCCTCTCAGTACCACATACACAAAAAAAGCCAGAAGTGGTGCTGTGGCTCAAGTGTTAGAGCTCTAGCCTTGAGCAAAACAAGTTTAAGGCATAGTGCCCCGGTCCTGATTTCAAGCCCCAGGACTGACTGGCAAAAAAAAAAAAGGACATGTCCTGAGACCCTGCCATGGCTGCCCCATCTCTGGGCTGGAGGCCCCCACCCCACATGCCTCCATCCTATTGTACAATATGGCCCCTCTTTTCCCTAGAAGTCTCCTTCAACCACCTTGACCCCCAGGGTTCCAGCAGTGCCTTGTGCTTAGCTGGAGGGGTCCTCTGCCTCCTTCATGGGTCCCCTGTGCTGCTAGACCCCGGCCCCCAGCACTGAACACACCTCAAGGCCCGCCCTGGAGTTGTATTCCTGGTGCCCTGGAAGGCACCGGGGGCCTCAGCCTTCCCACCACAGGATCATGGGGGGCAAGGGATGCAGCCTCACCTGGGCCCCTCTCTGCAGAATGAGGCAGTAGGCATGATGGATGAAATCGTCCACTGGGTGCGGGAGGACCCCTCTGGGCTGGGCCAGCCCCAGCTCTCGGGCGCCCCCGCCGCGGAGCCCATGGCGGTGCCCATGATGCTGCTCCACCTGGTGCAGCAGCTCAGCGAGGACGATGCCGAGCTGGCAGGCAAATATGGCGAGCTGGAGGACTGGTGTGCCCACAGGATTCTGCAGCACGTCCAGGTGAAGTACCCCCCCCTCTCCCCACCCACCCTCCAGCTCTCCAGCAGTGCGCTCTGGGAGAACCTGGAAGTGCCTTGTGGGGAAGGTGGGTGGGGCTGAGCGTTGGAGGGACTGGGCGGTGGGTAGATCCTGCGGCCAGGAGATGGGGACCTCATCCCTATCCCACTCAGGCCTCCATGGGCTTCCCAGTTTGCCTCGCCTGCCCTTCCCCTCGAGCCTGCCCTTCCCCTCGAGAGGGCCGGGCCTGGAGCAAGGACTAGAGGCTGTTAGGCCCATGGGAATGAACCAAAATGCCATTCTGTGCTGCCAGGTGGGCGGGTAGACAGGAAGGAGGGGATTTTTTTAGGCTGATTCTTTTTAGCTGTCGAGCTAGGGCCCAGAAACAGAGCTGTCTTCTGCTCTTCCCTGGCAGAGGGGTGGACAGGTTGTGTTGGAGAATGTGTCAGTGGATGGCAAGGAACTTCCCGGTTGTCTAGGAAGACACCAGAACCCAGGTGAGGGGGCAGAGTGTGTTGGGCTCGTCTTGGAGAAAGAGAGCCTCAGCCTTGAACTTGAGATTTTAGCTGTGGGGAATTGCCTCCTCCCTTCTCCTTTCACCAAAGAGTAGACAGAAAGCCAGAGCAGGTGGCTCATGTGTATAATCCTAGCTGCTCAGGAGGCTGCAATCTGAGGATTTTGGTTTAAACCCAGCCCCATTAGGAAAGTCCTTGAGACTCTTAATTCCAAAATATAGCCAGAAGTAGAGCTGTGACTCAAGTGCCAGCCTTCAGCAAAAGAAATTAAGGGATAGCTCCCAGGCCCTGAGTTCAAGTCCCAGTACTGGCAGGCACACACAAAAAGGCATATGCAAGGCAGGCACTGGTGGCTCACGCCTGTCATCCTAGCTATTCAGGAGGTTGAGATCTGAGGATCAAGGTTCAGAGCCAGCCTGGGCAAGAAAGTCTTCAATTAACCACCAGATAGATATCCAGAAGTGGCGCTGTGGCTCAAGTGGTAGAGCACTCGCCTTGAGCTGAAAAGCTAAGAGACAGTGTCAAGGCCCAGAGTTCAAGCCCCTCGACTTCCGGGGGGGGGGGGGGGGAGGAGGATGGGGAAAGGCTTAGAGGATAGACAGGCTTGCCAAGTCTGAGGAGTGGCCCAGGTAGGACTGAAAGGGTGAAAACGGGGTCAACCCATGGGGGAGGGGAGTTCAGCACTATTCTTCCCGTTAGGGAGGGAGGAAAGGAGGGAGCAGGGCTTGAATGCCCCAAGACTGGGGGTCAGATCCCTTCCTCCCTTACCCTGACTTCTCTTCAGGCCACGCATTAGAAGCGGGCTGGTTCCTGCTACGTTATGCCAGCCGGAAAGAGGATCCCAAACTTCGAGCCCATATCATTGACAAGTTCCTCCTGCTGCCCTTTCACTCGGGATGGGACGAGGAGCACGGAGGCCTCTTCTACTTCAAGGACGCTGACGGTCTCTGCCCTACCCAGGTGAGAGAGCCCAGGGCCTCAGATGGCTGGCCTGGCCCTAAGGCTTTCTGTCCAGTCATCAGCCTGCTCTAACAGAAGCAGAAACTGGGGCTGGATTTAAACCTAGAGCTCAAAACTTAACCCAGCCGGGTGCCAGTTGCTCACGCCTGTCATCCTAGCTACTCAGGAGGCTGAGATCTGAGGATCGAGGTTCGAAGCCACCCTGGGCAGGAAAGTCTATGAGACTCTTATCTCCAATAAACCACCAGAAAATTGGAAGTGATGCTGTGGCTCAAGTGGTAGAGTGCTCATCTTGAGCTGAAGAGCTGAGGGACAGCGCCCAGGCCCAGAGTTCAAGCCCCATTAAACCTATGTCATGGGGCTGGGAAGGTGGCTCAGTGGTAGAGCGCTTGCCTTGCATGCATGAGGCCCTGGGTTCGATTCCTCAGCACCACATAAGCAAAAAGAAAAAAGCCAGAAGTGGCGCTGTGGCTCAAGTGGTGGAGCGCTAGCCTTGAGCTGAAGAGCTGAGGGACAGCGCCCAGGCCCAGAGTTCAGGCCCCATGACTGGACCCCCCCCCCCAAAAAAAAAAGACCTATGTCACTTGGTCGCAGTCAGAAGCAGGGCCTTGACCATTCGGAGGTCTGCGCTGGCCCAGGTGGGAACAATGTTCAAGGGGTGTGAAACATCCTGGCTCAAACAGGACCTTTCAATTCAAGGGCTAAAGGGGGGTCCCACCCCCCCTCTATCCTGTTAAGGAATTGCTTGGGATGCGTTCAGGTCAGTAAGCTAGAACCATTCTGAGGATCATTCAGGACACCGTCCCCCTCAGTATCTCATATAGCACCCTGAACCTGGTGAAGACTGAGCAGGGACAAAAGGATGGGGTGAGGTCCTGCTGAGAAGGCTGCAGCCCCCCCACTTTCCATCACCTGCCTGTGCTTTGCTCTCAGCTGGAGTGGGACATGAAGCTCTGGTGGCCACACTGTGAGGCCATGGTTGCCTTCCTTATGGGTTACCGTGACAGCGGGGACCCTGCTTTGCTGCGCCTCTTTGACCAGGTGGCTGAGTACACCTTCCGCCAGGTGAGCACATCCTTGTCCCCTCCTGGCCCAGAGGAGATGGGAGGGAGGTAGGGGAGGAAGTGGACCTAGGCCCTGGCCAGGGCAGGGGCTGTGCGTGCTAAGAGCATGGCTGTGCTGCTAGACACAGGACATCTTGGGGTGACACAGGAGCTGAGACAGAATTTCTGAGCCTTGAGTTGAGAGGAGAGGTCAAGGATGGCCAGAGGCTCGGGGCAAGCTAAGCTGTTTCTTTTTCTCTCATTTTTTGGTCAATCATGGGGCTTGAACTCAAGGTCTGGGTGCTGTCTTGGAACTCTTTTGCTCAAGAGTATTGCTCTACCACTTGAGCTACAGTGCCACTTCTAGTTTTGATTTCTTTTTTTTTTTTTTTGGCCCGGTCGTGGGGCCTGAACCCTGGGCCTGGGCACTGTCCCTCAGCTCTTCAGCTCAAGGCTAGCGCTCTACCACTTGAGCCACAGTGCTACTTCTGGCTTTTTTCTTTTTGCTTATGTGGTGCTGAGGAATCGAATCCAGGGCCTCAGGCATGCAAGGCAAGCACTCTACCACTGAGCCACCTTCCCAGCCCGTGGCTGAGATTCTTATCTGGAGTCTATGAGCTTGAGACCTTAGAGAAAATTAGAATTTGCACTAACTTGTAACTGAAATCTAACACTATTTCCATTTTGATTAGAGCCAACCACATTCTTGCTGTGTTTCTATTACAATACAATTGGAACGACATCTTTAGCCATCTCACTTGTTTACTATTATCTCCAAACAGCACAAATACCACACCTGTGTCTGCATCTCACTACTGAATGTATTCATTAAAGAATAGGCCACTGGTTTAAAACAAAATGGGAAGCTGGTGGCTCAAACCTGCAGTCTTAGCTACTCAGGAGGCTGATATCTGAGGATTGCATTTGAAGCCACCCCTGGCAGGAAAGTCTATGAGACTTTTATCTCCAATTAACTACCAAACAAGTTGGGCATGGAGTTGTAGCTCAAGTGGCAGAGTGCTATCCTTGAGCACAAAAACCTAAGGACAGCACCCAGGCCTCAAGTTCAAGCCCCAGGACCAGCACTATATATACATATATATATGTGTGATATACATACATATATATCATATATATATCATATACATAATCACATATATATATATATATATATTTTTTTTTTTTTTTTGCCAGTCCTGGGCTTGAACTGAACTCTGGGCCTGGGCGCTGTCCCTCAGCTCTTCAGCTGAAGGTGAGCGCTCTACCACTTGAGCCACAGCGCCACTTCCGGCTTTTTCTGCTTACGTGGTGCTGAGGAATCGAACCCAGGGCCTCATGCATGTGAGGCAAGCACTCTACTACTGAGCCACCTTCCCAGCCATATATATATATATGAACAGGTTAGAAATAACATTAAGCCGGGCGCTGGTGGCTCACGCCTGTAATCCTAGCTACTCAGGAAGCTGAGATCTGAGGATCTCGGTTCAAAGCCAGCCCGGGCAGGAGAGACCGTGAGACTCCTATCTCCAATAAACCACCAGAAAACCGGAAGTGGCGCTGTAGCTCAAGTGGTAGAGCGCTCTCCTTGAGCTGAAGAGCTGAGGGACAGCGCCCAGGCCCAGAGTTCAAGCCCCACGACCGACAAAAAAAAAAAGAAATAACATTAAACAATCACAAGAGCTAGAGCTAGATGTGTGGTACACAGTTGTGCTTCCAATACTCTGGAGGCTGAGGAAAGAGGATCATGAGATATTGTGACCAGCCTGACTCAGTGTCAAATGAAACCAAACCAAACAAACAAAAACTTGTAACCAACAGGTAGGTCATTATGCACTAAGCAACAAAACAATGTGTAAAACAAAAATCCAGGTATCCAGAAAAAACTGAACAGAAAACACAGAAAATCTTTACTATCTCTTGTTGTTAGTAATGGGGCTTGAACTCAGGGCTTGAGCTCTTTTGCTCAAGGCTTGTCCCTCTACTGTGAGCCATAGCACCACTTCCTGCTTTCTGGTAAGTAAGTGGAGATTTGAGTCTCAGGGACTTTTCCTACCTGGGCTGGCTCTGAAAGGTGATCCTCAGATCTCAGCCTCCTGAGTAGCTAGGATTATAGGCATGAGCCACTGGTGGCTAGCTCTTTACTTTTTTTTCTCCTTTTTTTTTTGTGATGCTAGTATATTGTCTTCCTGTGTCCAAGTGAAATGTAAGTCATGAAAAGGCATGAGCAGTGTTACAAAAAATGAGGGAAAAAAAAAGTCAGGGCCAGCGGCTCCTATCTAATTCTAGCTTCGTAGGAGGCTGAGATCAAAGTCTGAAGGAGGATCAAAGTCTAAAGCCAGCCTCAGCAGAAAAAAAAGTCCACGAGACTCTTGTCTCCAAAATAACCAGCAAGGCTGGACACCAGTAATCTTAGCTACTTGGGAAGCTGACATTTCAGGATCTCAGTTTGAAGCCAGTGTTGGCAGAAAAGGTCATGAGACTGTTATTTCCAATTAAGTAGCAAGAGGCTGAAAGTGGAGGTGTGGCTCAAGTGGTAGAGCTCCAGCTGTGAGTGAAAAAGTCGTGAAAACAATACCAGAAAAAGAAAAAGGATATAGAACTAGTTTTTACCTCATATGAAGAACACATCATCGTGTCACAATTTAAGACTTGACTGGCTCTCTACCACTTAAGCCACACCTCTAGGTTTGCTTTTAACTAAAGAGATGAAGTCTCAAGAGCTTTTCTGCCCAGGCTGAGATGGATAGATCTCAGCTTCCTGAGCAGCTGGGATTATAGGTGTGTAAGGAGGTTTTGATAGTGGACTTTAATGCACCTGGTTTGTTTACTCTAGGATCCCGAGAAGGGGCCCCATCTACTTATCAGTGAGGAACAAGAGCGTCAGCTGGGGTCTTTGAGCACATCTTGGGAGATCTGGAAGAAGTGAAAGGCCTGGGTGGAATGGGTGCTGGGTGGGGTGTAGGTGGGGAAGAGTTCAGAATGGGTCATTTGAGCCAACCTACCTGGTGTCCCCCCATCAGAAACAGCAGACACTGGGCAGGGGTAGATGAGGAATGTGCATGCAGTCTGTGGGACTGGGGGAACAGGAATTCCAACGGAGTCACAAGTTTCCTGGCACACAAGCATCCATCAGGATTTTACTTTAAATCTATTGTATACAATACAGTTTACATAAACTTTTTTTTGTTGGTTGTGGGGCTTGAACTCTGGGCCTGGACACTTTCCCTCAGCTCTTCAGCTAAAGGCGAGCACTCTACCACTTGAGCCACAGCACCACTTCCAGCTTTTTCTGCTTATATGGTGCTGAGGAATGGAACCCAGGGCCCCATGTGTGCAAGGCAAGCACTCTACCACTGAGCCACCTTCCCAGCCCCCACTTTCCAGGTTTTGAGTGATTAATTGGACATAAGAGTCTCTAGGGGACTTTTCTGCGCAGGCTGGCATGGAACCATGATCCTCAGATCTCAGCCCCCTGAGTAGCTAGGATTACAGGCAGGAGCCACCAGCACCCAGCAAGGATTGTTTAGTTTTTGTTTTGCTAGAGTACTAGGGTTTGAACTCAGTGCTTTTTGTTTGGTAGGCTGTGTTCAAGCACTTGAGCCAGGTCTCCAGCCTTTAAGTATTCATTTCAGAGTTAGGACAGTGTCAACACCTGTATACACCATCAGGCTAATAGACCCCAGGTGTAGGGCTGATTTGATTCCCTGTTCCAGTCCACCAGCAGCACAAGGCCTGCTGCGCGTCAGGGCTCCCAGCTCTCCTTTTCAACCAGGATGTGTGGTCGCCGGACAGCAAGGGCCTCTCCCTCCCTCACCCTGGCACCGGGATGTGGGGCTTGCGGGTGGTAGCTGTCACTGTCTCCTTACAGTTCCGCGATTCCGAGCGTGGGGAATGGTTTGGCTATCTGAATCGAGAGGGGAAGGTGGCGCTGACCATCAAGGGGGGTCCTTTCAAAGGTGAGTCCCCAGCGACTCAGCAGGGCTGGTTGGGGGTCGGGGGGTCGTGGCAATCGGGTCACTCCCCCTTCCCAACCCGTGTGCGTGCTCGTGCCTCCCCCGCCCCCGCAGGCTGCTTCCACGTGCCCCGGTGTCTAGCCATGTGCGAGGAGATGCTGAGCTCCCTGCTGAGCCGCGTCGCCACGGACCCCGACCCCAGCTGCTCCCCTTCTTCGGTCCCCGCCCGCGGAGGCGCGAAATAAAATAGCTTGATCCACCTGCCAGTGTGTGCACGTTCTGTGGGCCCGCAGGAGGGGGACGGTGACCGCCCGGCATTGCTGCCAGACAGGCACCGGCTCGCCCGGCCGGCGCCGCGCCCATCCGCGCCCACGCCCAGCGCGCTGGCCGGTCGCTGTCATTGGCCCGGTGGGCGGGCCCGCCCTGCGCGCGGGACCACCCTGCACATTGGCCTGCGGCCAGGAGGGCGGGTCGAGCGATCTCCGTACTTCCGGTCGGTGACCGGCCCGGAGCGCGCCGCCTCTTCCGCTGCCGCTCCGGAGAGCCGGTTCCTTAGCTCCAGCCCTGGCCCGGGTCGCCCCTGCGTTGCTCTGGAGCGCAGCGGCAGCTGACTGCGCGTTCACGATCTGCTGGGACCCGCAAGCCCCGCCGCCGTTATGAACATCCGCAATGCTAGGGTGAGGGGCCGGGGCGGGAGGCTGTCCGCGCCGCGTGGGCGCCGGGCTGGGTGGCCGCGTGCGCATGCTCTCAGGGGACCCGGTGGCCCTGCGCTCCTGTGGCCGCGTGATCTGAAAGGCTGAGTGAGCCCGCAGAGGCTGCAGGGCGCGCTGGGCTAGGGTCGCGAAGGTCCCCGGCTTGCCTGATGTCACAGCTCCGTGGGGTGGGCTCCCGGAACCTCCTGCCTTTCTAGATCCTTTCTGGGAAGGGGTATTTTGTACAGCGGCTGTGGGCCAGGCCGCGTGCAAAGTCACATATTCACAGCCCTGCCCAGCTCCAGGGGAGGGCAGTCGGAGAAGATGCTAGATCAGGAGCCGGGTTCTCGCCTGACTGAGGCCTACTTAGTCACCGCAGCCCGGGACTGAGTGCGGGCCCCTGTGCCCCCCTGCAGCCCGAGGACCTGATGAACATGCAGCACTGCAACCTCCTCTGCCTGCCTGAGAACTACCAGATGAAATACTACTTCTACCACGGCCTCTCCTGGCCCCAGGTGAGCAGCGTTTCAGTAGGTCCAGGAAGGAATGGCTAAGACCATGAAAGAGCCCAGGGAGTTGTATGGCCTGCTGATGCCATGCAGAGGCACAGGGGAAAGTGCCTGAAGGGAGCATGGAACCCTGGCAGGGTAGGAGCCCCGTTCCTACCTTGTGTCTGTTCTCATTCAGGTCTGGGAAAGGCACACACAGTGTGGTTTAGGGGAAACAGAGCCACTCAGCCAGGAGGTCTCAAGCTGTCAGAACTCACCCCTGCTGTCAGGCACGAGGCAGGAGGCCACAGCGGGAGATCCTCCAGCCTGCTCCGATGCAAACTGATTTTCTGACTTCCTTTTCTTCTGTCACCAGCTCTCTTACATTGCTGAGGACGAGAATGGGAAGATTGTGGGGTACGTCCTGGCCAAAATGTGAGTCATCAAAAAGAAAGGAATCTAGTTCTGGGGCTGGGAAGGGATCAACCATGGGTGGAGGAAGCCAACACTGTCCAGACCTAGAAACACTGCTGTGGGTTTTAAAAAAATGACTGGATTATTTTTTAGGACAACTTAAGTCTGGAAAAATTGAGCAGAAGGTACAGGGTTCCATATAATATCTTTCTTTGCAAATGTGTTGTGTTGCACTCATGGACATGTAGCTTCAGCGGCAGAGCACCAGTCTTCAGTGAGAGGATGAGCTTGAACTGGCACAAAACCAAACCGAAGCAAACAGAAACATGTTGCACTTGAGAAGTACTTGTTTTAAGTGAGGATACAGTACTGATGATACATTGTAATGATACAGATACCTTGTAACTAAATGCCTATTTTTTTATGCCAGTGGGAGGGGGGGAGAACTCAGGGCCTGGGTGCTGTTCCTGAGCTTCTTTTGCTCAAGGCTAGTGCTTTGCCACTTGAGCCACAGCTCCACTTCTGGCTTTTTTGGAGTACTTTATTGGAGATAAGAGTCTCACAGACTTTCCTGCCCAGGCTGACTTTCAACCATGATCCTCAGATCTCAGCCTCTTGTATAGTTAGTATTACAGGCATGAGCCACCAGTGCCAGGGACTACTGTGCGTTAAAAAAAAACAATGGGGGGCTGGGAATTTGGCTCAGTGGTAGAGCGCTTGCCTTGCATGCCTGAGGCCCTGGGTTCGATTCCTCAGCACCACATAAGCAAAAAGAAAAAAGCCAGAAGTGGTGCTGTGGCTCAAGTGGTAGAGTGCTAGCCTTGACCTGAAGAGCTGAGGGACAGTGCCCAGGCCCAGAGTTCAGGCCCCACGACCGGACCCCAAAACAAACAAACAAAAAAAATGATGGGAGGGCTGGGAATGTGGCTTAGTGGTAGAGTGCTTGCCTAGCATGCATGAAGTCCTGGGTTCAATTCCTCAGTACCATATAAACAGAAAAGGCCAGAAGTGGCACTGTGGCTCAAGTGGTAGAGTGCTAGCCTTGAGCAAAAAGGTCAGAGACCGTGCATAGGCCCTAAATTCAAACCCCAAAACTGGCACAAAAAAAAAAAAAAAAAATATATATATATATATATATATATATATATATATATATATAGGGGCTGGGAAGGTGGCTCAGTGCTTGGCCTTGCCTTTTGCATGCATGAGTTGGGTTCAATTCCTCAGCACCACATAAACATAAAAGGCCAGAAGTGGTGCTGTGGCTCAAGTGGTGGAGTGCTAGCCTTGAGCTGAAGAGCTGAAGGACAGCGCGCAGGCCCAGAGTTCAAGCCTCACGACCGACAAAACAACAACAACAAAAAATTAATAGGATTTTTTCAGGGCAACTTAAGTTTGTGGAAACATTAAGCAGAAGGTACAGAGTTTCCATATAACCTCTTTCCTGGGTTTCTTCCTTTGCAAATATGTTGCATACATGGACATGTGGATTCAGTGGTAGAGCGCCAGCAACCTGATCCCTGACATTCTCAGCCCAAGTCTAGGATACCTTTGTCTCAGCCTCAAGGAATTTGCACTGCTAACTTTGCCTACCCGAGGCTCCTTTCTAGGCCCCTCCTTTTTCCTGCAGGGAAGAGGACCCAGATGACGTGCCCCATGGACATATCACCTCACTGGTGAGTAGAGCTCGCTGAGGCTTGGGCCTGGATGGATGGGGGAGGGGCAGCCGTCACCGTCCCACTCCTACTCCATCTTCTTCCAGGCTGTGAAGCGTTCCCATCGGCGCCTTGGCCTGGCTCAGAAGCTGATGGACCAGGCCTCTCGAGCCATGATAGAGAACTTCAATGCTAAATACGTCTCCCTCCATGTCAGGAAGAGGTGGAAGCCAAGCTGAGGGAAGGGGCAATGTGGGGGAGGGGGAGGCAGACTTACCATCTTCACAAGGGTTCTGGGGTGCCCTGCCTTTTGGAGAAGACCTGGGAGGAAGTAGGATTAGTGGGAAGGGTGGACCAGGAGGAGGGGCAGGACCTGGACATGGCCTGCCTACTTGCTTGGCCAAGTTTGTGCAGCTCAGCAGTGCCTTGTTCCCCTGCAGTAACCGGGCCGCCCTGCACCTCTATTCCAACACCCTCAACTTTCAGTAAGTACATCGATGTCTTTCTGTGGGGTATGGTACCGAGTTGGGCCAGGACAGGGGGGACTGGGAAGGGGAGGAGGCAGTAGACTCCAGACATGTCTCTATATTCAGTGGCTACTGGCTGACGAGCTGCCTGGTGAGGTCTACCCCAGGTGAGATGTGGAACCAGAAGCCTGGATGTCTTCTGGGTATAGGAATATTTAGCAGCTGGTGGAGGCTTTTTTTGGGGGGGAGGGGTGGTCCTGGGACTTGAACTCTGCCTGGGCACTGCCCCTGAGCATCTTTGTCTCAAGGCTAGCACTCTATCACTTGAGCCAAAGCACCACTTGCAGCTCTTTTTGTTTTGAGGAGCTTATTGGAAATATGAGTCTCATAGCCTTTGCAACCTGGGCTGGCTTTGAACCGTGATCCCCAGATCTCATCCTCATGAGTAGGTAGATTACAGGCGTGAGCTACACCGCCAAGCCTGGTGAAGGCTTCTTAGAGTGAGTTTGGAGTTGGTGAGTGATAGGCTTTGTGTATGAACAGAGGTTGAGAGGCAGGATGTCCCAAAAGTCACCCACAAGGATCCGTGTGTGAGAAGAAAAGGGAGTTGCAGGAAGGAAGGGCTGAGGGCAGGCATGGCATGGGACTGAGAGCCCTGAGCATTGTGGTAGGCGGGGGCAGGTCTGCTCAGAACATGGCTTCTCTGTGTCCCTCAAGGGAGACAAAACCTGGCAGTGCCCAGTATAGGTAAAAAGCCATGTGAGAGTAAGGCTGAAGTGGGCAGCCCATGGAGGGCCCACTGAGGCACACTCAGCTGTGGTGTGAAGGTAGGGTGAAGAGAAGGTCTGGGCAGGGCAGTGGCTTGGAACAGGTTCAACACCCAATCCAGGGAGAATCCTTTGACCCAGCCAAGGATGCATCTAAGACTTGTTTCATGGGAATTGCCAACAATTCCTTTGTTTTTAAGTAGCAATCAAGTCTTGCTTCTTCTCCAGCCGCCCTCCGGCAGCTCTAGCACCCTCTCCTGGTTCCCAGCACTAGTGCTGAGCAGAAGACCCAGCAATTGCTCAGTAAATGAAAGAGAACAAAGGGAAGGGAAGGAAGAATACTGGATTCAGAGCTTCAGCTCACAAGACACCAAAGCCTGATTGGTGGCTCACGCCTGTGATCCTAGCTATTCAGGAGGCTGAGATGGGAGGATGGCAGTTCAAAGCCAGGTCAGGCAGAAAAGCCCATGAGACTCCATCTTCAGCCAAGAGGAACTTAAGGCCCTGAGTTCAAGCCCCAGTACACACACACACACACACACACACGCACACGCACACGCACACACACACACGACACCACAGAAACAAGTCATTACTAGTCAATCTAAGGATAGAGCAGCAGGCAATGTAATGGATGCTTAATACTAGCCTTTTGTGGGTTCAACAGAGAAGTGCATGGTGGAAATGTGACTACTTAAAACACCTTTGTTGTTGTTGTTCATGGGGCTTGAACTTGAAATCCAGGGCACTGTCCCTGAGCTTTTTGAGCCACAGCTCCACTTCTGATGGTTCAGTTGTTAATTGGAGATAGGAGTCTTCGGGGGCCTTTTCTGCCCAGGCTATTTTTGAACCGTGATCCTCAGATCTTAGTTTCCTAAATAGCTAGAATTATAGGCATGAGCCACCTGCACCCAGCTGAAAGAGTTCTTTCAGGATGAGCAAAATCAGTCAGGATAATGACACCCAATTAGTAGATGCTACAGAAGACCAGGAGACTTTGCCCATAGGTTGGCTTGGATTTTCCTTCCTTCAGGATCAGCGAAGTGGAGCCCAAATACTATGCAGATGGAGAAGATGCATATGCAATGAAGCGGGACCTCACTCAGATGGCTGATGAGGTAAGAGCCCTGCAGCCAAGGAGCTAGATGGCCAGCCATATGACACAGCAGCCCTGACCCAGGAGGCTGGGTGAGACTGGCTTCGGGTGTCAGCTCTTGTGTTACGTGTGTGTGTGTGTGTGTGTGTGTGTGTGAGAGAGAGAGAATGTGAGTGTGTGTGTGAATGTGAGTGTGTGCATGTGTATGCACCTGTCCTGGGGCTTGAACTCAGGGCCTGGGTGCTGTTTCTGAGCTTTTTCTCAAAGCTAGCACTCTATCATTTGAGTCACAATGTGACTTCTGGCTTTTTCTGAGTAGTTTATTGGAGATAAGAATCTCACAGCCTTTCTTGCCTAGGCTGGCTTTGAACCATGATCCTCAGATCTCAGCCTTCTGAGTAGGTAGGATTATAGGCATGAGCCACTGGTGCCTAGTAGAAGACCCTCTCTAGACACACTGGGATGGTTAGAGGTCAGCTATGGACTTTCTTGCTCAGGACTGGGAAGAAAGGTGAGGCCAGGCCTCCTGGGAGGCAGGACATTCAAGGGACACTGGTCTGTCTTGGGGACTCCCAGCAGCCCAGCACACATGAGTGTTTACTCATATAACAGGGCAGCAAATAGACCAGGTCTCCTCACCCCGTTCTTACGTCCAGCCCTGGTCTTGCTGCCTCTCCCTGTGTCCCTTTCCCCAGCCAGCCACAATGCCTGGCTCCCCTTTTCCTATCATCTGGCCACCTAGAGCCTGTCTTTTTGCACCCACTTCTCCCTGGGCTTCTTCTGTCCACAGCTGCGGCGGCACCTCGAGCTGAAAGAAAAGGGCAGGCACGTGGGTGCTGTGGAGAACAAGACGGAGAGCAAAGGCAACGCGCTTCCAGGCTCAGGAGAAGGCTGTCGTGAAGAGAAGGGCCTGGCTGGCGAGGATAGTGGAGGGGACAGCAAGGACCTCAGTGAGGTCAGCGAGACCACAGAGAGCACAGACGTGAAGGACAGCTCAGAGGCCTCTGACTCGGCCTCCTAGAGCCTGTCCGCCCCATCCTCCCCCATGAGCTTTCACAATAAACTTCACTTGTGGCCTTGGGGAATTAGTGTGTGTGTGTGAGAGAGTGAGTGCATATTTGGGATGGGGGTGCCTCTCCCCACTTCCTGTGCCCAGAAGACTGCATTTTGGCCCAGAACAACCTGCCAAGGAAGAGGTGTTTTTTTTTTTTTTTTTAATGGCTTTGGGGATGCAAATGGAGAGGACGCATGCGCAGTGAAGCAGGACTGCACTGAGATGCAACAAGGTAAGAGGCCTGCGTCCAAGGGATGATGGAAAGGTGGCTGGTCTTATGACATGGTGGCCCTGACACAGGAAGCTGGGTGAGACTGGCTTTGGGTGCCAGCTCTTGCATTACAGACTGGCAGTTAGGACTTCTCTTCTATAAACCTCCTTGGGTTGTGCAGGTACGTTGTGGCTGGATTCAGAGGAGGCCACCTGCCCCAATTCTGTTTTCTGAGATAGAATCCCACAGGCACCCTGTGGCCTTGGGGAATCTGTGTGTGGGTATGTGTGTGCGCAGCTGTGCTTCTGCTTCGATGGGCTTCTGTGTCCTCACAAATGCTCCAGGGGTGAACTCGATGTTTGATGTTCTCTTGGACTTTTTTGTGCTGGTCCTGGGGTTTGAACTCAGAACCTGGGCATTGTCCCTGAGCTGCTTTTGCTCAAGACTAGTGCTCTATCACTTGAGCCACAGCTCTACTCCTCCCCCCCTTCTTTGAATAGTTTATTGGAGATAAATATCTCATGGATTAAAGAAAAAATCTCATGGATGGAGCTGGGAAGGTGGCTCAGTGGTAGAGTGCTTGCCTTGCATGCACGAGGCCCTGGGTTTGATTCCTTAGCACTACATAAGCAGAAAAGGCTGGAAGTGGCACTGTGGCTCGAATGGTAGAGTGCTAGCCTTGAGCTGAAGAGCTGAGTAGCTGAGGAAAAGTACCTAGGCCCAGAGTGCAGGCCCCACGGACTCCCCCTCAAAAAAGTAAAAAATGAAAAGAATCTTATGGACTTTTCCTGCCTGGACAGGCTTCACACTATATTCCTCAGATCTCAGCCTCCCGAGTAGCTAGTTTTACAGGTGTGAGCCCCTGGTGCCCAGCTCTAGAGGCCTTCTAACTGTTCACACTGAGTGGATGTGTTTGTAGGGACAAGCCTGGGCTGGACACTGATTCCTGGGCAGTTCTACCTTTAGTTTCCTTCATTGCTTCTTTGCCCTTCCATTTCTGTGTCCCACCTTCAGCCCGTCTTCCGTACTTCCCTACGCAGCTCCAGTTTGTACCTCCTGGATTTCAAGTGCCTTTGCCTAGCTGCTTGCTGGACTTTTCTGAATATGCTCTATTTGGATAATGGCCCAACCAGCCACTCAAGCTGATAAAACCCTGAAGTATTCCTGATTCCTCCCCTGCCACCCCGATAGCCAGTGTCCAACTTGCTGTTGTGTTTTCAATTCATATTATTATTATGCTGGTCATGGGGCCTGAACTCTGTCCCTCAGCTCTTCAGCTAGCACTCTACCACTTGAGCCACAGCACCACTTCTGGCTTTTTCTGCTTATGTGGTGCTAAGGAATCAAACCCAGGGCCTCATGCATGCAAGGCAGCACTGAGCCACCTTCCCAGCCCCCCCCCCCCCCAAGTTATTTAGGATATGATTCTGTTTATTCTGTGCCACTCCTGGGGCTTGAACTCAGGGCTTGGGTACTGTTCTTTTTTTTTTTTTTTTTGGGTCCTGTCGTGGGGCCTGAACTCTGGGCCTGGGCGCTGTCCCTCAGCTCTTCAGCTCAAGGCTAGTGCTCTACACCTTGAGCCACAGTGCCACTTCCAGCTTTTTTCTTTTTGCTTATGTGGTGCTGAGGAATCGAACCCAGGGCCTCATGCATGCAAGGCAAGCGCTCTACCACTGAGCCACCTTCTCAGCCTTTGGGGTACTGTTCTTGAGCGTCGTTGAGCGCTCTACTACCTGAACCATGATGCCTCTTCTGGCATTTTCTCAGTAGTGTAATGGAGATAAGAGTCTCATGAAAGCTAGCCATCCGTGACTCACGCCTGTAATCCTAGCTGCTCAGGAGGCTTGAGATCTGAGGATCGCGGTTTAAAGCCAGCTCGGGCAGGAAAATCTTGAAACCATTATCTCCAATAAACTACCAGAAAACTGGAAGTGGTGCTTTGGCTCAAGTGGTAGAATAATAGCCTTGAGCTGAAGAGCTGAAGGACAACGCCCAGGCTCAGAGTTCAAGCCCCACAAGTGGAAAAAGAAAGTCTCATGGACTTTTCCTGCCTGGGCTTGTTTTGAAGTGTCATCCTCAGATCTCAGCCTCCTGAGTAGCTAGGATTACAGTTTTGAACCATTTGGGCCCAGCTGAAATTGGCTTTTAAACTGCATTATTCATCCCTATCTCTTCCCCTCCTCTCCCCCACTCCCCAGGTCCTGGGGTTTGAACTCTGAGCCTGGGTGCTGTCCCTCAGTTTCTTTTGCACTCTACCAGTTGAGCCACAACACCACTTTTAGCTTTTTTTTTTTGAGTAGTTTATTAGATATAAGAGTCTCATGGACTTTCCTGCCTGGGCTGGCTTTGAACCATGATCCTCAGATCTCACCTGCTGAATAGCTAGGATTATAATAAGCATGAGCCACCAGCACTGGGGTATATGATTCCATTACATGAAATGTCTAGAACAGGTAAATCCATACATAATGAAAGCAGTGGTTACCAGGAGTTAAGGAAAGGGGAATGAAGTCTTGGCCAGTGGCATGGGATTTTTCAGGAAGCTGAGATCTGAGGATTGAAGTTCAAAGCCAGCCAGGGCAGGAAAGCCCATGAGACTCCCTATCTCCAGCAAACTACTCTCAGAAAGCCGGAAGTGGTGCTGTGGCTCAAGTGGTAGAGTGCTAGCCTTGAGCAAAAGAAGCTCAGGGACATACCCAGGCCCAGAGTTGAAGCCTAAGGACCAGTCACACAAACAAACAATGAATAGTACACTTTAAAAGAACCAATTTCAGTGCTGATGGCCCATAACTAATCCTTGCTATTCAGGAGGCTTGAGATCTTAAGGATCATGGTTCAAAAAGCCAATTACCCGGGCTAGGAAGGTGGCTCAGTGGTAGAGTCCTTTCATGCTTGAAGCCCTGGGTTCAATTCCTCAGCACTACATAAGTAGAAAAAGCCAGAGGTGGTGCTGTGGCTCAAGTGGTAGAGTGCTAGCCTTGAGCTGAAGAGCTGAGAGACAGCGCGCCCAGGCCCAGAGTTTGCGCCCAGGCCCAGAGTTCAGGCCCCATGACTGGAAAAAAAAATTAAAAGCCAATTAACCACCAAAACCCCAGAAGTGGAACTGTGCTTCAAGTGGTAGAGCTAACTTTGAGCAAAAAAAAACTAAACGACAACACCCAGGCACCTCAAAACAGCACAATATTAAACCCAGTTGTGTCTGTAATCCCAGCTAATTCGGAGGCTGAGATCCAGCTGGGGCACCCAAGTCCACGAGACTCTAACCAGCAAAAAGTTGGAAGTAAGCTAGGCACTGGTGGCTCCTGCCTATAATACTAGCTGTTCAGGAGGCTGAGATCTAAGGATTGCAGTTGGAAGCCAACCCAGGCAGGAAAGTCTCTGAGACTCATCTCCAATTGCCCACCAATAAACTGGCTCAAGTGGTAGAGAGCTAGCCTTAAGAGGAAACCCAAGTTCATGGCTTTTGAATTATATACCAAAAAAACAAAAAACAAACCATTATAATGGGGTTGGGAAAGTGGCTCAGTGGTAGAGCACTTGCCTTGCATGCATGAGGCCCTGGGTTCGATTCCTCAGCCCCACATAAGCAAAAAGAAAAAAGCCGGAAGTGGCACTGTGGCTCAAGTGGTAGAGTACTAGCCTTGAGCTTGAAGAGCTGAGGGACAGCGCCCAGGCCCAGAGTTCAGGCCCCACGACCGGACCCCCCCCCAAAAAAACCAAACAAACATTATGCATGGAGAGGAATGGACAAAGAATCACTAATTTTAGATGTGCTAAGTCTGGTAGTCTATAGGTAATGTATCTTTCTTTCCTTTGTGTGTTTGTGTGTGCTAGCCCTAGAACTTGTACTCAGAGCTTGGGCATTGTCCCTGAGTTTTTTAGCCCAAGGCTAACATTCTACCACTTGAACCACAGCTCCAATTTATTTTTGAGGTCTGCTATTTGTCTAAAACGACAGTGTCGGGTGCTGATGGCTCATGCCTGTAATCCTAGCTACTCAGCAGGCTTGAGATAAGAGTAACAGTGGGTGAATATGACAAAAGTACATTATATGCACTGAGAATATCACAAGGAAACCTTTTATACAATTAATATTCACTAATGAAAAAAGGGAGAAAAGTATCTCCACCCCTCTGGTTTTCTTTTCTTTCGTGTGTGTTTGTGTGTGGGCTGTTCCTGGGGCTTGAACTCGAGACTGGACGCTGTTTCTGTGCTTTTCAGCTGAAGGCTAGTGCTCTACCACTTGAGCCACAGTGCCACTTCCAGGGTTTTTGATGGTTAATTGGAGAAAAAAGTCTTTGGGACTTTAGTACCTGGGCTCTATGATCCTCAGATCTCATCCTTCTGAGTGGTTAGGATTACAGGCGTGAGCCACCAGTGCCCGGCTATCCCCAAGGTTTTCATGGCCTTAACTTTGCCCTCACATTCGCCCCTGCACCTTTTCCTTCCAGCCCTTCCCTTGGCTACAACGCCATCAGTCCGTTGTTCCCAAGTCTGTAGGTGTGTACTGCCTGGCTGTCGGCTTCCCAGCGGAGCTCCGTACTCGAGGTATCATTATACTAACGTCCCTGCTACTATAAGAGGCACAAAGCTCCCTAACATAGCTAAACAGTTCGCCGCTAGGACCTAGAGCTCGGTTTCCGCGGCCGGCGGCGGGCAAGTAACTAACAGGAAACCGAAAGCTGCGAGGCGGAGCCTGGACAGGAAGAGCACGCCTGCGCACGGATGCCTAGCCTTATTTTCGCTGGCTGCCCCTGAACTGCGTTTTGATTGGCTAACATCGCGAGCTTCCCTTTGTATCGGTCAAAGCAGCTTCTCGT